TGGGTGGGCTCTGAAAAGGTGGGTGGGTGGGCTCTGAAAAATACCTAACCTGTGGTTGGAGGAGAGCTGTGTTACTCTAGGCTAGCCAAGAATCAAAAGGCGCCTTTTCCGATGAACAAATTTCATTCAAAGGCAGAAGCTTTCAGAAGAGAAATAAAGACCTTCAAATGCAAAATTTGTTTCAGCTTAAAATATGTAGTTCATTATTACTGGCACTCTTAATGCTTGTGCTGGTCAGATTGATTGTTGAATATTTCTCATAATACGGTTACTGTTTAGGGATGAGAAAGGGGACGAAGAGGGCTTTTTTAGTAATATCAGAGAAGGTGTTAAATTACTGTTAATGCATATACTTGTTTGGAGGGAGGGAGAAGTCATCTTTAATATTTCTTTTCTCTTTTTCTTTTTGTTTGTAGGTCTCTTAGTTTTGTATTAATTTATATACAAAACTAAGAGTGTTATATACAAAACTAAGTTTATATATATAAAAACTTTAATACACACACACACACACACATACAGAAGAGAAATAAAGACCTTCAAACAGCAATCAAGCAAATGTGGAAAAAGAAAGTTGTGGTGGTGGCCGGTAGGCTTGGTGTCATCGCAGAAGATCTGGACAAGCACTTAAATACAATAGGAATGGACATCCATTACAAAAAGGCCCATTACTTGGGACAACTCCTATATAGTGACAATTAGATATCCTAGATCCTCGGGAAGAATGTGATAGTCAGAAGTCCCAAATCCAGTCAGAACTATCTGGTAGACTGTGTCAACAGCAGCCATGATGATGGTGGTGATATAAAAACAATCATATGTTTATTATTCATATAATAAACATTGAACGCGTTTTGATGTAAGCAGCCTGGATTGCCATTTTATTATTTCTGATACTGTATTTTTTATTCATCTTAGGGTATTTGCATTCTGGTTTTTATATTGCGAGCTGCCCGGAGTCCCTTGGGAGTCAGTCGGCACCAAAGTCGAATGACGTGAAATAACAATAGCAATAACGATATAAAAGCAAAAGCAGCAATATCATGGATGTATGTGGGATTTTACAAGATGCAGCTGAAAGATCCCTGCCCCAAGGAGGTTGTAAATTGTAAATTCGGCTTGGGAAATGCAAAAGAGGAAGTTGCATGCAGTCTGGTTTTATTGGCAAGGTTTAGACATGAGATGTAGAGATCCTCCCTTGCAAAGGCCTCGTCCAGACATCTCCCCCGTGGATGAAGGGCACCGGCCCTCCCCGGTAGCTTCTTGGCGGCTGTCAAGGACGCTGCCCTTCCTTGAGGTCTCAGACCATAATAGTTTACACAGTGTTTCTCAAACTTGGCAGCTTTAAGACATGTGGACGTCAAACTCCCAGAATTCCCCAGCTGGGGAATT